GTCGCGTTTTCCGTCTTCCGTGTTGATGACCATTACATGTTTGTGGCCTGTCAGAAATAGGTACCTGACGGTGAGGGCGCGAGGGTGGAGTTTTCGTACCAGCGTCTTGCTTGTGATGTGCGGGACATGTCCTAGTTGACCAAAGATCATGTATTTTGTGATGTTCGGTTTTTGTCCATGCCACACTGTGCTGGGTATTTGGCCGGTTCCCAGATGCAGCGTATGGTTGTAGTTGAAGGCTGCATCTTTTACTGCATCTTACCAGTGGTGTTCTGGTAATCCACTGTGGTGCAGAGATGCACGTGCTGCGTTCATGATTGTCCTATTTACTCTCTCGGCGATACCGTTCTCTTGAGGTGAGTATGGAACGGTGGTGCTGTGTCGCACGCCATGTGAGTGGTACATGTCTTTTGTGGCATGTGATAGGTATTCTTTTGCATTATCAGTGTGAATCATGCTGGGTTTGGGGTACGGGCCTGTTGTGAGATGGGACAGGACATTGTCAAGCTGGTCTGGTGCTTGATCCCTTGTTTTCATAAATGTTATGATGAGATAGCGTGAGTTAGTGTCTATCACTGTCATGAAATAACGGTTGCCGTTGGTGGATGCCGTGGGAAAGGGTCCGCATATGTCGCTGCTTAGTGCCTCACCAGTACAGTAGTTGTGCTTTTTCTTGCTGTGTCGTGCTGTTTGCAGTTTGGCTGCAGCACAGTTTGTGCATGTAATTTTTGGCGGTGGTAATGCAAGGGATTTGGGGAGGTTTGGTAATAGCTGCCTTTTTGCCATTTGTTGGATTGTGGAAGGTCTTATGTGGTTGAACACCATGCGCCAATGATGGTAGTCATGCTGCGTTTTTATGCTTGCAGTACGGGGCCGCACTGGTGCAGAGTTGCGCCTTAATTGTATGGGGATGTTTTGTGCGCTTGCATGGGGTGTGCACTGTGTTGTTGGTGCTGAGGTCTGTGCTTTTCTTTTTGGTGCTGTGGTATGAGCTACTTTCCTCTTCGTGTTGGTCTTGCGACGCGGGATTGTTCTGGCAGAATTGGCTTGGCTTTTAGGGCGTGCCACGTTGAGATGATAGAGGCCTTTCTGGAATTTTGCAGTGCCAACAATGCTTGGGGGATTGTCTTTTGTATTTATCACGTGTGCTGTGTTCGGGTAGAATATGACTGCTCCCCACTGTTTTGCAATATCATGTACGGATAGTAGGTTTGTACGAAGGTGGGGTTGACGAGGGTTTGGAGTTTAAGCCATTTCGTCTTCGTCATCGGGATCTTAAGCATGCCGTGGTGTGTCGCAGGAGGGGTGGTGGACGTTGCAGTGTTAGTGCGCACTTTGCGTTTGAGGCGACGCATGCCAGGGGTGGGCTTTTTGATATGGGATGGGTGTGCACCAGAATCCAGTGCGAATTTACTACCTTCTACCGTGGGGTGTTCTTCGGGGTTGGGCGAGATGGTGTCGATTTCTTGCACACTGTAGGTGTGGTCATTCAGACCTGTATCATGCGTGATGTTGGCCGTGTTGCCCTTTGCATTTTTCCAGGTGAGTCGGGGTATGCCCGGTGTGTTTGTTGTGGTAAAGGGGGTGAGGTGGGTGCTGGTGGTTTCAGAAGGGTTGCTCCATTGATGTTCCCTTTTGGCTGATTTGTAATTTCTTCTGCCGCGATTGCGGCCTCGGTTGCGGCTTCCATATGCTGGGGTGGGAGGTGTGGTTGCTGGTTGTTGCATACCGATTGGTGCGTGTTTGTTTTGTGGCCTACGCTCCATGGTGCGGGCGTGTAATGACTTAAGTCGTTGTACTAGCCCTTAAATTGTTTCTGGGACAGTGCCATTTTCAATCCACGTATCTTAGAGGTGCTTGTACGTTGTGTGTGCCGATAGTCCTTGAATGATGAACTGAACTGTGGCTGCCTCTCCTGATTTACTGTTTGGATAGTTTGCCATTTGCATGCGTGTGCGAATGGCTCTGTGGCGGGCAATGTAGTCATCTAGCGTTGTGTTGTGGGTGAGCTTGGTATTTTCTGCTTCTTGTTTTAGCAGCAGGTGCGCCGTTGTTGTGCTGTCTGTAAAGTGCTCTGTGATCTTTTGTGCCATGTGGAGGGGTGAGGCGTCAAGTGTTAGATCGGCAGTGGCAGCAAAGTTTGGCGGGAGTGAGTTGTTGATCGCCAGGCGGAGGATTGCACTGTTGCGTTTGTATGGTGCATATAGCGGGCTTGTATCATCTGGAGCAGTAAACGTTGGACCAAGTACATTTTCCATTCCTTGGATGATGGCCATGTCATTCAGCGCTTGTCTCCATGAGGGGAAATTATCTCCTGTGGGGCTGAGGGGCGGCAATCGGGCTTGGGTCCGGTGATCGTTCGGGGTGGTTCCTTCTTCGTTGGCCATGGCGGTGGCTGTTGGTGTATTCGTGTCCACGCGTGGTTGCGTGTGGTTTCTGCTCTCTACACGAGGTGGAGGCGCGTTATGCGGGCTCTCAACACGGGCTCGTGGAGGCTCTTCTGTTGAACCGGGGAGGTATTCTAGGCTGCCGGGGGTGGGTAGTGATGCCGTGTGTCCTTGCTGGTGACGGGGTGATCTGCGAGGATGTCTCCCGTAGTTCTGCGATCGTCTTGCAGGGGTGTTTGCGTGTGGTCCATAACCTGTAGTGCAGGAACGATGGGGCAGTCTTTACTGTCTGGATCTGCTCTCACTACTTAAGTCTACTGGTCTCACGCCGGCGGGTGTGAGCCTGTGCGTGTGATACGTGGACTATGTGTGCACGTGTCTGGGTATTGTCACATTGACCAGTACGAGAATACAGTTTTTTGCCGGTGGGGTTGCCCTGCAGGTAAACGCAGTTTTCGGCGGAGTCTTTTAAGACTTAAAAACAAAAGTGTATAACAGCGAGTGGCCAATCAAAACACGCCAACGTCCTCAAAAAGTTTCACTTTACAACACTCTCTGATGGGGATGCTCTTACCGCCATTATCATGCAAGTACTGAGTAAGTTCAACGTACTTGGTCTACAGTTCAGCTTGCCGCATCGGTAAGCAGCGCTCCTCAGTAGCCGCCGTGGCCGTGCGGATCATCGCAGTTACGGTCACAAAAACAGAAAGACCATAACCGCAAGCATGTCAACAGTCAGGGCATGAAGACCAAAGAACATCATCCTCAACCATCTGGAAGTGGACTTACTGTAGATTTGATGGAGGGCTCGAGATTTCCGAACCCCAGTGCTGCAGACTTTTTTTCAGCTCTTGGCTAGGCGCCTCGGCTTGCACAAGAAATAGTGCCTCCTCACGAGACGGTGGAAGTCAGCAATATGATGTAGGTGTAGAACATTGCACAGTACAGTACACATAGATAGAAAAAGTACAACATCTCCCATGCATGCGGGAGATGATGTGCGACAAAAGCCAAAGCGCCAAATGCGGCGGCGACTCAGTCCCTCAGTCTCGTCTTGAAGGCGGCTCGGAGAGCGCAATATAGTATTACGTACAGTACGGTACACTGATGCAGTGTTGAAAAATACTTGGACGGGGCGAAGGCAAGGTGAAATAATCTTCAGTGCCGACCGTCTCACCTTGCATTGCATGCAGATACAATACTATTAAACCGCTTTGAATTGTTGAGATGAGCGGAGTCCCGTACACTTTACCGATAGTTGTGTTTATTCAGAAAGACACGAAGAGAAGAATCGTGTGTTTGCGCTTTCGGAGGCGGTTGCAAAGGTACGCATGGCGCTTCCTCTCCAACTGACGAACCTGCTTGTATTGAGCTCTTCGAAGGGGGGAAAGAGGGAAGTGATGGATGGTGACCTGAATCGAATTTCAAGTGAAAAACAACGTGCTTTGATTCAAAGGACAGGTGTGTGCCATTTTTTATGCGTTCCTGACTCTTGTAGACATGGCCTGGACACAGCGAAAAGGGCCTTCTTCCTACAGAGGCATTTGGGAAACGCAGTGCAGTCAACAAATGCCACTACGTGTCCAGGAGAAGTACGAAACCCCTTGATGATGCATTGAACGCTTACGACGAAGGCATTAAACGAGTGTGCGGAGAGCAGTCTCATATGAGGCGGTATGGCACGTAGAGACGAAGGCAACCTGGAAAGAAAATGCGTTGTGAGGAAAGGCAAGGGTGTTTTGAAATAGTGAATGACGATGCTCGCGAGATTAGATGCGAGGCACAAAGTATGAAGGCATCCATATGAATGAGCAGGTGTAAGGTACGGGATGTGACAGGTTGTCTCATTGATGGACGTCTGGCAGAAATCGTTGTTCTGGTGCCTGGCTAAGATTTTTTTCCTTTTGATTTGCTATCCATGTCATGAAGCGCATGACATGAAATCCGAACTGGTTTACAGAAAAACTTCTGAGGGCGCGCGGAAAGTTGGAAAGGGTGTAAACAGGGTGCACTGGAGACAAACGGGGTAAGCAAGCTTTGCTGCTGCATAGAATCAATCGGCAAGCAATGTTGCGTCAACACTCAGGAAGTCTTCTGGTCTCGATGGCCAGGAGCGGACTGGACACGCTCCATGGCTCGGTGCTTCCGCGTGCGTGGAAATTACCAAACCTCTCGGGGTTTCCGAGTGGCGGCAGGCAGAAAACCATGGTACCCTTGGTACAGTACACTATAAATTTACTGGACCCCTCGCAAACGTCCCCATCTATGTGTACAGTAACATGATAGCAATTTGCCACAGCCACACATGGGTTAAATTGACAATTCGCGCAAAATCTTCCCAATTGTTCTGGAGCTAAGGGCAAGGGGCCCACGGTGGCAGCCATCAGCCATGTCACGCGAGAGATGTCAGTTGTTGCGCGATAATCAGCCAATACTGTAGCCGCACGCTGGAAGCAATTGAGTTCTAGTGTTCCCTTTACTGACATGATATCTAGGCAGCGAATCAAATTGGAATCGTTGGCTGTACTGATAGAAAGCTGACCGTTGTGCACTGGCACACGCGTCCTCAGCACCTCCGGAGATTGACGCCGAGGGCACAAAGCTTGAACGTTGTATTTTTCCCCGAAATTTTATTCCGCACACTGCCTTCTGTATTTGTCCGCATCAGTAACGGCTAACATACAACTTGGCTTCATGCACAACTATGCTACGCTCCATCATACCCATCTACAAAGAACATCTTCTCGGGCAAGTCTCTCTCTATAATCTCCGTGTTCCGCAATAAAATCCCTCTCAACGTGTCCTCCGAGCCATTGTACAGCGCCCGCACCCGCGGTATCTCCTCTCTCAGCCGTTTCGAAAACATACCAGCCGCCAAATAGAAGAAGCTATCTCCATCCCGCAGCCGTGTAAACTCCCTTTGCCACAACCTCAGCATAGTCGGCCCCATCGAGCTCCCCTGTGCGTGATCCTCGGCCATCAACCCAGGCCACATCTCCACTAGCCCGGCTGACTTGTACACGTTTTGCAACGCGCTCCGCACGTTCTTGTTCCGCGTGATCTGTGCAAACGTCACCGCTTTGGGAAACCCCAGTTTCACCCGCAGTGCGTTGTACGTCGGCAGCGCATGATCCCGTCCCCGCTGGATATTCAGCGCCACCAAGTCGTGCAAACCCTCCTCCCCACCAATACCAGTAAACAGGAAATTTCGGAGCGCATCGTGCACCTTGACATCTATCTTCTGCGCTCGGTTCATCATTGCCCCGCGGAGGAACACCTCCATTCCGTCCTTTTTCATCTTGTCTGCAGACTTGAAAAACATGTCCTTGAGCGATAGAGACGGCATCCTCTGGTTCCCTTTCCACGCCCTGTTCACCCTGTTGCCCACCATCGTGTGCCCCACTCTAAATCCAGCTGTACTAAAACTTACGCTCACAGTCGGGTCCACGTTCTTGTTAAACCCAGAGTATCGCCTCAGCCGTCGCCCCGTCACTGCAGGGTACCATTGCTCGTACACGATCTTCTGCATTTGTGCCCCATTAATCTTGCGGGCCATCTGGAACAGCATCTCACTATTCCACTTTGGAAACTTTCGTGCCAGCTCCCTTGCGATGTGATTATGCTCGCGCAGAAACACTGTGTGCAATGTCGTGAGCATGGGGTGCTCGTTGGCGCGGTGGTCGCCAGCCAAGAAGAACTCAGGTCCAGAACGCGGCGCGTTGTTCAGCCCCGCGTAATTCAGCGGCAGCATGCCACCACCGCTCGTCTTCATTAATCCACCGTACGGCTGCCGCAGGGCATCACAACGCTCCTTGTTGGGGCCGTACACAGACGCCAAGTCGATAGCGGACGGGAGGACGTTGCTCGGGGTCTGCGTCATGTCGCGTGTGCGCACCCGAACGCGGACGCTTCGGAAAAATGGCATCTCGCTTTTCGAAAAGTTGGCGGCGACCGGATCACCGTCCGGGATCTTGATCGGCATCGGCTCGGCTTTGTTGGTCGTGGTGGCGACAATGGTGTGGTCGATGAACTGACCAAAGAAAGTGGCCAGTTCTGCGAGCCCTCTGGGCTCTGGGGTGTTTCCCCCTTGCCGGCAAAGCATGTTGGAAATCAGACGGGCAGATGGTAGGGCTTCGCCTCGAGGGACCAGGGTGTCGCGGCCTTGGAAGTAAGAGTAGTGAGGGCGGTTTGTAGAGGCCCATAGCTTACGCTCCGGCGTACCGAAGGAAGTGCATACGCCATCGAAGGTGCGAAAGTTTCGAACGCAGCCTGAGCGTAGACGCTGATTGAAGATGGGGGTGTCTGGCTGGACGGGGAGAAGGTTGTTGCGGTCGTTACCGTTGGGGCGGATGGGCTGGGAGAAGGCAATGGACAAGAGAAAGAGTAGAAGGAGAGACATAGTGCAAGGGAAGGTGGTTAGTAGATTTGGGGAGGGAGAAAGAACTGCGGGGTTGCGAGTTGGGGGTTTTATGAGGTCGATGTGTGGGAAGGGCTCACGCCGGCAGTGATAGATGACGTACGGACAGACGTCTGACAGATGGCTGACGGCTTGCTGCTTGCGGCTACTCGCAGATGCTTCTTCATTTACAGTTGCTGCATCGGATCGAATTCTTAGAAGCTGTAATGCGCCACCCCATCGCCCTTGTGAGATGTCTGTCAAGTTGACAGTGTCAACTCGGTGAGTATTGAGGTAGCAATTGATGACCGCTCCTTTGTCATCGCGTTCCACGAGAAAGCGCGATAACCGCCACATTTTCCATGAAAGCACAGCGTGTCATTCTTCGTGTCAATACAATGTCCAACAAAGGCGTTTCTAATCCCCTAGTCCCCCGAGGAACCGTACTACAGTATCATCAATCGCCCACACCACGTACCGTATCAGAGGGCCTGTTTCTCATCATGGGTGAAAAGGGTGTCAACGGAAGAGAAAGACAGAAATGGCAACGAAAGAGGTGTGTCTCGTGTGCGTCGGGATCCGTTGACAGGAAAGGCAACGAAAGAAGTGTGTCTGGTGTGTGTCGCGTTGCGTTGGAGAAGGGTTCCGTCCTTAGTGTGGTGATATCCCCCTCCCTCTGTTCATCACCTTCCCCTAGAAGTCCATTCCAATGTTTCATCCAAATGTTTCATTCAAATATTGTTAATTAATTTTCAATTTCTAATAATTACCTCAGAAATTCTCTCTCAGTTCCCTTCATCGTACAGTACACGGTTGTCCGTAAAATAACGCGCTGTCTTTTTTTTTTCATTTGCCCACAAAATCGCTGGACGTAAAGTAAACCCGAGATTGAAAATTTCTGCCACGGGTTTTGCGGACTGACCCCCGGCAGCTTGCCTGCCGGCAACAAACGCAAGTTTGGTACATCGTTGTGCCGCCCGAAGGATCACGTGCACCTGCGCGAGTACTCGCTGAAGCCAATATTGTAGCTAGCCACAAGGACAGAAAGGTTCTCAGTCGAAAGGGCGATGTGTTTCGTCTTCTTAACAGGCTGAGGGGGGCCGTTTGGAGAAGACCGCTTTTTTAGAAGCTTCTACTTGTCTATCTTTCGCGGTTGCTTCGGCTGCATCTGTGGCAGATCCTGTCGCGCTTTCAATCGTTGGTGGACTCTGCGCAGATGAAGCGATAGGGGCGTCCATGACGCATATCGATACGACCCGTGCAGTCTGAGACTCGTTTGTGCTGGTGAAAAGAACGGAAGACCCACTTCGTTTTTCTTCATGACGGTTCGATCCGGCACTGCTGTGATCAGGCGGATGTGAAACTCGTGGAAAACTCACATGCCCCGAGTTTTCGGTATGCTGTGAGTTTTGCCAAACGCGTTGTCCGAAATTTTTGCGTTTAGAAAATATGAGCAAATACGCCGCCGAAACACGCATTTTCGTGACTTCACGGACAACCTTAGAATATGGTAAAACTCTTTTGTAGCGAGAACTTGCATGTACCGGTGCGCCATGCCCCACGTATTAAAAATCCTCCCATCATCCCATTAGGTCTCTTCAAGTGGCCACACAATTCCTGTTTCTACAGTGAACCCTTGACATAAGAGACCCTCTATGAGCAATTCCTTGATATATGCAACCAATAGTCGTCCACGAGATGGGGAACCTCATTTTTGGTACCGTAAGGGCGGTTTCTTAACACCTTGATAAGAACAACCATCAACTGCAACCAAATGCTGAGAATCCTCATGAATGTAACTGAAATCAGGCATTCAATTAAGGTTAAAGGCACTGTACACCTCGGCAACAAAATCGCTGACGTACATGCCCTACCTACCGTACACGTGATTCGTTTAGATACCGTTGCTCCTCTAGACATTTAGTCGTGTGCCAGTCTTGGGAATTAAAGGAATAGGTCCGTGTGGCGGGGAAGGCACGTGGCGCGAGATAGTTGCGCGTCGTCTTCGTTTTACGGGACTGAGTCACTGAATGTCAGCGTTACTTCGCTTGGACGTGGCCTATTCTCGCTGGGCTGAGGAATCCGCATACGTAATCGCCGTTGCAAGGCTGTTCTCGGAGTAAAATTCGCGATATGGGGGGCACATCCCTGCTTGCTGCTGTATTCCATTCCTAGCATCCTCCCCAGACAGGAGGATTCTCCGCCGGCGGATGCTTCGCCGCACGGGCTTGCAACGGTGCGATTGGTTACCACGCCGTCTTCCTGGGCGATGTTTGAACATAAGATGCGTCACGACCGTAGGACACTCGTTGCCGCAAAGAATCGAAAGGCCGTCGTCGTCGCCAGTTTGCACGTCCCAACGTGATATCTCGAGTGCCCGTTTTGCTGGGCGGAGCATGAGGCCCCTTGGTGCCTAAAGGCACGCACTCCGGAGCTCGTCACGTACTGGGCGGGCGTGCGGGTTGTCCGCGAATGCAAAATCCACGCACCCGGCTTGGAATGTGATGCATGCCATACCAGAAGCGAACGCGGTTGTCTGCGAGGTCAAATTGGTGAAGTGATCAGCTGTTCCCGCTCTACAACGGGACCTCCCGGAATACATCGATCGCCTCACCTCCGCCCACGCAGGCTGTGACCGCGTCCCATTTGGCGCAGAGAAATGTGAGACTGGTCAAGGCGATGACATGTACCTAGATGAGGACCAATATGGCGACCTGATTGGATCCGGCTCGCGGGGCAACCGTCTCTTTGACGATTGGTGTGACCTTCCGCAGGAAGCGCATCTACAACGGGCGCCACGAAGGAGATTTCCTCTAGCGAAGTTCCCCTGCGAAGCAACTTCGGTGCGCGGTAAGGCGTGAAACGTCGCCTGGCCGGTGCCGCCGACCGGAAGCTGGTCCGAATGACGGACGACCTTTGCATCGGGGACAAATTGCGTCGTCCGAGCTTGCGGGAACATCCGTGCGGGCGTGATGTCACGCGCTGACAAGATCACGCGCTGAAGCATCAGCCCTCCGTCGTCCTCTCGACCGTCGCCGTGGTCCGCGAGTACAACAACGGTGCCAACGAGGGCCCTCCTCGTAAGGTCGCTCGATAAATGGGCTCTTCTCTAGGGGGGCAAGCTGAAGACAAGAAAAAACAGCAAGCGGCTAGATTGCCAGTGTCCGACACTCTCCCAGTTCGCCCCGAAGCATGAGGGTCCCCTCACCTGGCGGTCCTTTTACGGAGACTACCGTGTCGTCTCCCGTCGTGTCCGATGTGATGGCGGGTGGCATTGTTGAGGTTCCGCCGGGCAAATCTGGCGGACAGGGGACTCTTGCATGCGACCTCCGCATGTTAGAAGTAGAAGGGGTGCCGTCACTGCGGGTCAGGCTCTGACAAGCAACGTTTCCGAAGGCGTCGTGCTCGGGCGTTCCGCGCGCATGACAACCTCGCTGAGCATGCCTCACCCCATCGTGACTGGGGCTCATGCTCCAGCGATTGTGGCCGGTATACGCTGTGTCAGGCCCTTGCTTCCTTCCCCAGATGCCGATGACAGCGTTCGCTCTCTAATCCTTCTGGTCCGATGCAGGGCAATCTTCCCGAGTAGCACTACTATTAAGCGCGGTTTTCCTGCATCTTCTTCGTTTACAATTAAAGTTGTGCAGCTTGCGACGCTTTGTCCGACGCGCAGAAACACAAAAGCCTCCCCCATTTTCAGCAGCGGGCGCCCCTAGGAGGGCGTCCCGCAGTAGGCCCGGGTAGAAGGTTACTGTAGTGAAAGTAATCCTTGTGCGCTATGATAGCGCGAAACGCCGTTGAACGGGACATTATTCTGTGGCTCCCACGAGTCGTTTGCGGGCCCGTACCCCATCCAACGCACTCGGTACCTAGTCGTGCGATCTGTGAGGTTATGATCCACGATCTTGTCGAACGCAAAGTCGGTGTTTGTGTTCGTGTCCTGTGGGGTCGCGCGGAGGGCAACGTTCATCCACATCCGGAGGTGCTGGTTTCTTCAGCGGGGCGATGTGTAAACCTTGATGCAATGCAAGTTGCGTTCTTATCTGACAAGTGGTAGAGTGGTGCCGAGTTTACTTTCCCGGTGAGCACCTTGGGACTTATCTACTCCCTCTACAGTGACATGCAATGGAACCTACGGTCTCCATTACTCCGGGAAAGTTTAGCATTACGTTCTTAATCATTGCTTAATCAAACTAAGACAGTTGACTGGTATTGCTGCTCACTACAACATCAAACTACGACAGATGACCATTACCCCCCTTGCTCTTTGAGGAACGAAGCTGTGATGATCCGTAATGCAGCTTCTGCATTTACAAATGGGCCCGATTCTTCTACAGTAGCGCTCGTGCCTTCGTCCTCTTAGACTTGGGCTATGGTCCGAGACTCGGCTTCTTGGTTTGCGACGTACGCGGTATTTCCTTGATGACTTTCTGAAGCGTGTCGAGCTCGGATGGTATGTCTGGTGTAGCCACTAAACGGGCGAATACGGACTTATCGAGCAGCGAAGGAAAGCCCGCTAGGGAATTCGGTTCGAGGGACGGAGCGGCTCAATTCGAAGGCCAACGAGCGACGCGGGACATCGAGCGGAAATATCTTCGCACTTGGCAATGGTGTCTTCGATAGCGCAAAGAGCATCCCCGGCCCGTCGGTCCGGGCGCTCCCGCGTCTTTGAAGCGCAATTGCGCTTCCGGGCCTGAGCCTCTGTCTTTTTAATTCCGGCTGACAGGCGACGCTAAATATCTTCGCTCGCACAGCTGCCGCAGTTATTATATAAGCGCGGCTACACGTCAGTAAAGGCAGACCTCGGAAGGAGAAGTTAACCTCTGAGGCGCGTATCCAACTCCCACTCGCACCACTACCATCACCTCTTTTCCGCTACACGTCCCGTCGCGGCTCCAAAGCCCACAAGTTGCTACACTGGACAAGATCAGCCGACGAGTGCAGAGCATCACTCATGTGGTCGGGGAGAGGAAGAGCGGTTTCCTTATTCCTTGCACGTGCCG